GTGACTCATAAGATGTAGCTGCAGAGACTTGTGGAGTGCCAAAGCTGGAGAAATAATAGACCATGTGGTCCTGGGCTGCCTAACTCCTGTCCAATGTTGAGGGTATTGAGCGTGAGGTTGCTGAGTGATTGACCTAGGTTACGTGGCAACTAGGCACCAAGGGGGAAGATTGGGATGGGGAAGCCTACTGACTCTCAAACCAGTACAATTTCAAAGGTAGTATATGTACCTGATCATCTAAACGATGTCAACCCAAGTATGATCCATGTAAATGAAGGTGCCTTAGCCATGGGAGAGATACGAAGGTCATCCTGTGCTATTTCCCTCCTGATGCAAGAATCCTGTCGTGAACATCCCTGACCATGGATGAAGGTCATTCATCCTGGCTTACTCCAGGCCCAGGGAGCTGGGTATTTTATGAAATATTTTATTTTGTTTTTGAATATCTCTACATACTAATAAAATCATTCTGACATAAGGTCAATTTTATAGTTTTGAAGTATTGACTCATAAATTTGAGGGCGTCCAGAGGTCAGTGGCATCATAGGTGATGGTGACTTTTGGTTCTTAAAATGAAAGCAATGATGCTCACCTTGTAGGATCATCATAAGGACTAGTGATGTGGTCTATGAAGTATCGGCCATAGTGCCTGCTTCAACATAGACTCTCAAGTTGTAGTTATAATTGATTTCTGAGCATCGTGATTCCTTGTTCTGAAATTATGCCCTCTGGAGTGATGCAGACTGTGTCTAATCCTGCAAATATTTAAAGGCATTTAGTGTGGCCCTCGAGGTCTTCCCTCTCCAGACTAAATATTCCCTGCTTCCTCGGCCATTCTTCCTGCAATGCATTTTGAACGTGTTCACTACTCTCATTTGTCAATTTCTCCCTTTAAATGTGGTGGCCAAATGTGGTCAGGCCCACGTACCCTACTGTGGAAGAATTACTTCCCCTGATCAGGACGTTTCACTTCTAAAACAACCTAGATTTATGTTAGCATTTTTGGAAGCCAGATCACACAGTTGGCTCGAGGAAAACCTGATTCTGCTTTCCAGAACACGAGCTGGGTCTCCAACTTTGTGTCAGCCGCAGATTTGACAAGCACAAGTTTTATATCTTCATCCAAACTGTTGATAAAGATGTCGAACAAGGAAAGGCCAAAGGCCGAACTTTGGTGCACACATCTGATCCTGGTCTAAAGACTGACATCCATCCGGTGTCATCTGTTTGGTGGCGTTGTTTCTCTAGCTTCAAATCTGCCCACCTGCACGATCGACAATAACTTAGTCAGATAATATGCTCCTTGTGTTTTTGAAATTGGATGTTGAGTTTATGTGGATATAAAATGCTATTCTTTTATCAATAAAGGCGGGTTTGAGATCTATAATTGGGACAATGTGAGCTCCGAAAATAATTTCACATTTGAATTCCTACTTAATGCTTAAAGGAAACAGTCACCTTCTCTAAATGTGAAATGAGAGTATCTTTGCCAGATTGTTTATTTTCCCAAAATGTTTTAAAATCGCTCTCTGGGTCTAGGGGAAGAAGGCTAGATAACATGCACACTTTATGTGTTTAAATTGGGAAATGGTGAAAATATAATTCAGGAGTCATCTTACAGAGACCTCAGAGACAAAGAGACTTCTGAAAATTGTTGCCGGGGAAGGATATCAGACTTCTTCCTAGATAGTAATTATTTTCTATTTATTGCTCCTCAGAAAAAGTTTTGGCATCTTGGGGCGAAACCTTTTCCTCTGATCTGACATGCCGTGCTCTCACAAAATCCAACCATGTTCCTTGGGGCGCAGCCTGAGCCTAGTCTTCCTTGGTTTGTGTGTAGACATAAAGATGGTTGTTGGTCATTCGTAGCAAAGCATTCGATGTTCAGATGCTCACCACTCGGGATGCTTTGAGTATCTTCCCAAGGTTTTCCTTTCAAGTTTTCTTCTGGTTTGTGATCTCCTGCCCATGATTGACCAAGTTCCTTAAAATCTGAAACTCAGATGCTGCCAGCATGCTTTCTGGAAGGTGAGCAGATGAGATGCTGGGGCTCTCAAAAGCTGATTAGTGAACAGAGGTGTGAGGCTCAACAATCTGAGTATCCTAGGAATTCTGTCCAGTAGGTCACTAGGCTGTCACCTGTGATGTGGTGATGGAGTCACAGTGGAGAGTAAAATCAGGTTTAGTTTCTACTCTCGCTGTGGTTGCAAGTGATGGCAGGAAGAGCGAATAATCACAAAATTAAGCACATTTATAACTTTTTTGTAATGATTTATTTATTCATTACGTATAGTGTTTTGCCTGCATGCCAGAAGAGGGCACCAGATCTCATTATAGATGGTTGTGAGCCACCATGTGGTTGCTGGGACTTGAACTCAGGACCCCTGGAAGAGCAGGCAGTGCTCTTAACCACTGAGCCATCTCTCCAGCTCCAGCACATTTATACTCTTTTAAAATCCCTCTAAAGGGAGAAGTTCCCATCACTAGGGAAGGGTGGAAGACTTCCCACGGAATGACCAGTCTGAGAGTTGAAGGTGAAGTCTGAACAAGAGCATTGGTGTCCAACAAAACAAAACAGCCAAGCAAAAATCATATTACAAGGTCTGGTACTGACATGAAGTAGTATCAGAATGAGGGCAGGAGAATTCCGGAAAGTTGGGAGGAGGCACCAAAACTGGAACAAAGATGGGATTAGATGAACTGCTTAGTAGGAAGGATCCCCCAACAGCTGGGGAGGGAGGTCACAAACAGTGCTATTGGCGTATTTCAAAGCAAAGAAGTCAAGCAGCGACTTAGGGTGGGGAATGCATACTGCACTGTGTGTAGTGTGGTAGGTTATACATTTTGAAGAAATCTCAGCGTAGTAACATGGGAAGGAAGAGGGAGAAGAGCCAGATAGAGCGAATAAAGTCTGAAGTCTCCCACGACAGGGCAGGAGATGACGGTAGTTCAGTATAGGTTTCTGGAAGAAGGCATGGGGATATAGAAAGAGGAGGAATGCTTGGGGGTTAATGGGCAGATTTTGGAACTGCATCTGGGCATGGCAGAAAAGAGGAGTCCTGGGTAACTCAAGAGACCTCACACGTTTCATGGTCTCCTCTGTGCGTGTAAAGATGTGGTTCTAGACATCAAACAGTACAACTTTAGTGATCCAGGGTGGAAACAGCATAATGCCAGACTTTGGACCTATTATTGAAATATAGGCGACTATAAGCAATATGAGACATTTGAGTATCATTGAGGAGCTAAACAACACAAGAGATCGCTCACACAGTTTCTGGAGCTGGAGATAGAAGGGTATTAGGGCGCACTTTTGAGTGAGAAGACCAACAAGTGATCTTGATTTTCATCATTTTAGTGGCCCTTGATGTCTTTAGATCCTGTAAAGGAAAATACAGCAAATCCCTGCCTACATGACCATATGACTCTTCACACCATTCCCTTCCTTTTCCCTTTGCCTGGCCACAGTGTTTCCCCATGCCAGGAAAACCATCAAGTGTGTTGGAGGGGTCCTTAGATTGTGTGTGTGTGTGTGTGTGTGTGTGTGTGTGTGTGTGTATGCCTTTGGGATCCTGTGACAACACAGTCAGCTCTCAATCTGAGCCAGGTGCCCGTTTCCCATCTGGACTCCTTACAAATTGTGTGGTCAGGACTCAGAAGTCAGAAACCTGGGAAAGGTGCCACGTGATGGGTGCAGCCACCCCCAATGCCTTCCATGTTAACACCATCATTTAACACATAGTGCAGGAAATCCTGCTCTTTGCAGAAGAAATTCAAAGGGCCACTTCACAACCTCCTGGGTAACATTGATTCTTTTTCCTTGCTAACACTGAAGTGTGGACAGATATATCCCTTTTTCCCTCAAGTGGATTGCAAGGGACACCCCATTGCTCTCCCCCCACCCCACCCCATCTTCAACCCACTATCCAACTGATCTCTCAAAGTCCCTTACCCTTCTGGACTGAAGGATGTTACCTCCTGCACAGGGGTCTGCCTCGGACCGTTGCCTGTGAGTGGTTGGCCATTCACTTTCTCTTCCTTTGCTAGGCTCTGACTCTGTTTCATCTTAGCCCCAGTGCCCTGATCAACCTTTTCCTCCCTTCATGTGCATTCTATCCTGTGGTCCCACTAGCTTGCTTTTCTACTTAACACAACCATTTAACCCAATTTTATTTCAGCTTACTTCTGAAATTCAAACAACATGACTTCCATGGGAGTCATCAGAAATCAATGCATGACAGTAGTCTGTTGTGTGGCTCAGACAATGTATGTGTTCCTTCTTTCGTTCATCTAGACAGCAGCATTTGTTGAAGGGCCACTCTGATCCACGCACCACCATTCTCTAGTCTGGAGGGCAGGATCACTGTTCTATATTCTCTTATTCCATACGGTGCTCAGAGGGAGATTGGTGGAGACCGAGCCTTATGATGCAAGTGTTATCCTTGTCATTGGATTCCCGGTGCTCTGATCTGATCTATTAGAACCATCCCTCCACACCCCATAGCTTGTTCAGCACCCCAATTATAATCTAGGAAAGTGTTGGTTTCCCGGAAAAAGGGATATGTGGTTGTAGTATTGCAGTACTGAGAACAAGGAAGCCAACAATTGGGTGCAACGTTGTGCGAAGGAGGATGGGGAACTCAATCCATCCGATCACGGCATTCTGTGCCCACCCTATGCTAGTGCAGTGTGTGTCACCCAGTCAGACAGGTATACACTAATCCTCCCGCCCTCCACCATCTGAGCCTGCCTTCAGGATGGCTGGCGGCAGATTGCTCAGCAAACGTCAGCACATTTCCTCTTCTGCTTTACTCTTTGGTAAGTAATCATTTGTTTTAACCCCCTCAGAACTGTGGTTATAGGCAAGATCAATGAACTCACACCTTGCCGGAAGCCATAACCTTGTGATGTGACCAGATTTCCAACCCGGCTCTGGAGGGCTGGGGAGTAGGTGAAACTTTGGTTCCTTCTGATCTTTCTCCTCTGTCTTCTCTGGGCAGAATATCTCCATGCATAATACGGTTGGAGGGACCATGACGGGACCTGGAGCTCATCAGCTGGGCAATACCCGGATGCCCAACCACGACACCAGTGTTGTGATTCAACAAGCCATGCCATCACCCCAGTCCAGCTCAGTCATCACGCAGGCTCCCTCTACCAACCGCCAGATCGGGTAAGGAGACTTCCTCGTTGTCCCTGGAGAAGCTCCGGCAATCTTTTGAATATTCTGCTATTTTGGGACTTGGGCCTGTTGTTTTTCCTGTGTGATATGATGCTGCCAAGAGGTCAGAGCGACACTTTTGATGAGAGGAGAGAGGAGTCTCCATTTGCTGGGAGCTCATTTAATCCTGGATGTCAAGGGGAAAGCTATTCATTCTGTGACTTCATTTTTTTTTAAATAAGATTTCTGAATGACAGGCAGAAATCGTGGGTGCCGACCACAGAAGAGTGCTCAGGCAAATATTTGGTACCAACAGAGAGATGTTCTGCCAGCCTAGGCTCCTCCTTCCAGTGTGCTCCCCTCCCCTTCCTGGGAGTTTTGCAACTGCTTGGCTAGGCTCACCTGAAACTCCATCGCTGCCTTTCCCCCTTGTCTTTCTTCCTCGTTCTTGTTATTTTTTTTTCATCAGACTTCACCCCCAAGCCTCTTCATTGGCCCAAAATTACTCCTGTAACAGAAAAAAACAATGTAACCAGGCCCTATTTCTTCTCATCTATGGAGCAAGACAATATTGAGACATTGAGGAAGCCTGGCAAAAGTATCTTGACACCCATATCACGGGATGGAAATTGTTCTTGCTTCTTCCTATCGTGTGACTGGTCCAGCCCCTTGCCATGCAGAGTATGGTCCGACCATCTGCAGTGTGGGTATTACCCAACAGCTTCTTAGGAATACAGCATCCTGCACCCCACTTACATCTCTCCAGAATGAGGATGCAGTGTGTTTCCAACCTCTAAAGAGTTAAGATGAGTACAAGATGCGGAAGCATGCGGGCTCTTGGGGAGTAGACACTGACTTCTTAAGTGTTCCCTGCTGGGTGCTGACCACTGGCTGCCCTGTGTCCCCAGAACTGTCTGCCGAAACCAGAAGGGGAACTGGTTGTGGTGGGTACATGCCTCAGAAGGCAGTCTGACTTTTCACCATTGGCTGTGGTGACCTAAAACAAATTCAGATGCTTCCTTACAATTTTTCCACGCATCTCCCCTGAGAGCAACAGTGGGCACAGGGAGCAGTCTTATCTTACTCTTTGAGTGCTCTAGAATAGGGATCTGTCTCTCAGGATTCTCAGTGCATAGGAAGGACACCTGCCCTGAAACCAGAGCTGTGGCGAACGACTCTTCTCTTTGTCATGGGCGTGTTTGGTGGTTCGTTCCAAGCGCGGACAGTGAGGGTGGGTGGTGGGATGCTTCCTGTTGCTTACAGACGCTGGCATGGCTGTAGCACGTCCCCCCTGAAAAAGACGTCTTCTCAAGCAACTTGGAAAGCAAGTATCGCCACTGTATCTAAACCGCAGCGTTCTGGGAGGGTTCATTCATGACGGTGTCTAAGTCTCAAGGGACTCCTTCTCTCTTGGGCCTTGGCTGTGGGCAGAAAATTCACAGCTGGGCCAGCTAATTATAATTATTTTATTTTTCTTTCAAGGGGGGAAGCATAAAACGCGCTCAAGTTTACTAGCAGTTTTACAGCATTCCTTCCCCCCCTGCAGCGCCCTGCCTGCCCCCTTGTCCCCTCGCCCACAGCCCTCTCTGAGGCCCTTAGTGGTCCCCATTGTTAATGCAGCCCTGGGTTTTATGGAGCAATCCCTTTAAGACTAGCACTAAATTTTAAGATGGGCATTGACTCTGTCAATAATTTACCCAGCTGGCCCGAGACTGTACATTTTGGGTGACATTCGTAGGCTGTGTCCCTCTGCCATTTATCCTGCTTCTTGGAGGCATTGTGAGTCTCTCCTGGCATGTTCTAGGAGATAATTGTGGCTTTTTGGACTCCATCTTCATCACCCAGCTTGAGGGAGGCTATTTCTTTTCTCCAGATCCCTCCCTGTCGCGCTTACTCTGTTGATTCAAGACCCCCACATCCTGTCACTTGCTCCGCTTCTCCATGTGATGCAGCCAAAGCCCTGCCCAGATGAGCGGGAGGTTCAGCAAGCCCCAGCCCTGCCCTTCTTACCAGCAGATTGAGTATGGAACCCTAGGTGGTAACATTTGGAGATGGCTCTTTTATTTCCCTCAGCAAAGAGGAAATGAGTGCTCATTTTAAAAAGCCAGTTCCCTCGGGAGACGTCTGCAAGTGAGCGTTTGAAATTTGCAGATAGCTTTTTAAAAAGTCTAACGTGTGTGTGTGTGTGTGTGTGTGTGTGTGTGTGGTGTGTGTGGTGTGTGATATGCATGCCCGTGTATGTGCACATGCATGAGCATACAGAACCATATTGTAGTAATATTCTGATTTTTATCACAACCTCAAATATTTAAGTGTCAAAATCTGGCCAAGCCACCTGCAAATGTTTGTCATGGCTATTGGCCAACAAAAACAGCACACAGCAATGAAAGTCTTCATTCAGGCTCAGTGCTGAAGCTGCATCCAGCCAGAGAGACTGGGACCCACCTGTGCCCATGTATAACACGCTCGTGCTGCAGCCCGTGGGTGTGTTCACAACTGGAACTTTGTGAGAGATGGGATCCGCTGACTCCTCTCCCTGCCTTTCCTTCCCTTTTATTCTGCAGGGCTTTGATTCTGCAGCCATCCCTACATTTCTTCTCTCTCTCTCTCTTCAAGCTGTGAAGCTTACACTTAGAGGCTGGATATAAGGGTCTGAAAAATGGAAGTGATGCCAGTTGTCAGTGAAGGCTTCCAGGACAAAGGGCACGTGTCTAATTTTTGTACGTGGGGCGGGTGACACTGAGACAAAGCAGACCAAATGAGTGGAAATATAAAAACACGAGGAAATATGGTTAAGAACGTAGACAAGCAGCAGATCCAGCTCCTATTCTAGTCCGTGGTGACCCCTGCTATGCCCTGTGCTCAATTCTCTAAAAGTAGTGCTATTATCTCAATAGAAACTGGAGGGAAGTATAAGTATCCAAGATTGCACTTGGGTGGTTAGGCAGGCTAGAAAAACACACAGCTCTAGGGGGTGGGAGACATCCCCCAAACCAGTGACTGCTTGTGCTCAGTAAAACTGGAGATGCCCTGTCAGGGAGAGTGTCTTTGCCTGATTGATGGGGGCGTTTGAGGAGATAAGTTTCCCAGATGGGCTTTAAAAAAAGTGAGCTACAGGTTGTGGAGAGACAAGACAGAAAACAAGCATGTGTTAACTAGAGATGAAATCGATTTAGCCTTGAACCAACTATGTGGCACATTCCAACTCCAGCCGTTTTTATTAGATATCATATAACACGCTCATTAATTCAGGATCAAGACAGCAAAGCCTGGGAAAACAGGACATGAGCAGGTAATGGAATGGAAATCCCATGCACCTCTTGTTCTCCCCCATCACAAGAGGTGTTTCTGGAGGAGCCCGTGAGTGGATGAGAGGCTAGATGGGTCTTAACCCTAATGGATCCAAGTGTTCTTAGAGCAGTCTGTTCCCCTCTCTGGGGTGAGAGATGACACATGCTGAGCAGTTCCTGAATAGAGTGGTACAGATAGCATGGACATGGAGTTCTACCACAGTGGTCAACGCTGGGGAGTTCTGACAGGTGGTTGGAGGCACCATTGACCTAGGCTATGGCTCTTCTTCTTGCTTTTTAATATTCTCTGTACATTGGGGAAATGCATGCATGCTCAGAGATTGCTTCCTGTGGGAGTTTTACAATTTGATGTCAGAATATATAAGCCTGAAACATTTGGATTGCCAGCCCCCCCCCCCTTCCCCAGATATGACACAGAGACTTAATTGTGAAAGCTTGGCAATTAGCTTAGGCTTGTCCCCGTAGCTCTTATATTTAAATTAGCCTGTTTTTATTCCTCTACACTCTGCCACTTGGCTCGGTTACCTCTGCTCTATACCGTATGTACAGCCTCTACATTGTCTCTCCTAGATTCTTTCCCCTCCTCCTCTCTTTCCCTGGAAATCCCACCCATCCTCTTCTGCCTAGCTATTGGCCGTTTGTCTCTTTCTTAAACCAAGCAGAAGGTGTCTTGGCAAAGACACATCTTCACAGTTTACAAATACTCTGCAACTTGGTTCTTTTAGCAAATTAGCCCGGCTGCACCAGGGAATCCAGCAATACATTTCAACAGAATGCATATATAAATCTGCTTCTGCAGGAAATATCTCTGATTTTACTTAAATTCTAGTCTGTGGGTGTACAAATGTCCACATTGTGCGCAGCAATTGGGGATTAGTTCATAAACTCTGTTCAAATGGAGCTGAAGGTAGACTGATCTACTTCTTAGCAATAAATTATACAAAGTATTGTGAAAAAAATCTCATTTTCTATAAAAAGGTGTTGTTAGCATGAGTTAGCATGAATTTTATCTGTTCCGGCCCTTGTCTACGCTGCTTTCCCAGTGTTTCTCTGTAAGTCCTAATGCTGTGTCGTGAATAACGTCTGGCGATGGCTTGTGGGCATACCAAGGAAAACACACAAAAACAAACACTCAAAAATAAAACAGTAAGTGAAGCTTAGGTGTCAGAGCACAGCTACTTTTTCCATGGACGACATCAGGAAGGCGTTGCTGTAGGGATTGCCATTGTCACTCAAAGTACCATCAGATGGGGATGTTTGGAGGCAAAGGGTCCTGTCACTGTTTCTCTGGGGAGGGGAAGAAATAAGGAGAGGCTGGGAAGTGCTGCATTCACAGATGGGAAGTTTCAAAATCTGAATAATAAGACATCTTCCGGTTAAAGCCGTGCTTGCACATACTGGGTTTGATCACATCATTAAGGGTTTTCTTAAATGCTTCGACCAACGTGAGCCTCGCTGTGACTGTCGCTGTCTACCACAGTCTGTGTTGGGGACGTTCTGGCCACTTCCTTCTTGCTAGAGGCAGTGGGTGTAGGTTTCAGGTTGTCCCTGCAACTCCAGCCCCTTAGCCTGGACAACTCGAAGCTCTGTTTGAGTAATTCATACCAGAAGTCATTATTTCCTGCTTTGTGTTTTGCTGAATATCACGGCTATGAACATAGCTTTATTGTTTAAAAATTGCTAGATCTTTCACAGCCCCAA